AGTAAATAAATAAATAAACAAACTTAAAAAAAAAGATATATCTTGAAAGATATATCTTCAAGAAATGAGATTCACCTTTTGCAAAAGATAAATGCTCTTGCTATAGATAACAGAAAAATGTTCTTTTAAAACTGGATACATTTGGGGCACCTGGGTGGCTCAGTCGTTAAGCGTCTGCCTTCGGCTCAGGTCATGATCCCAGCCAGGGTCCTGGGATCGAGCCCCACATCAGGCTCCCTGCTCTGCGGGAAGCCTGCTTCTCCCTCTCCCACTCCCCCTGCTTGTGTTCCCTCTCTCAATGTCTCTCTCTCTCTGTTGAAAAATAAATAAAATCTTAAAAAAAAAAAAATGGATACATTTTATTACCTTAAACTAGAAATGGCTTGAGTAGACAACCAGAATGCTAGTTAATTATTACCAAAAAGGTATACTTCAAACTTACACCATGTTATATGTCAATTATATTTCAATAAGGCTGGGGAAAAAAATATTACCAGAAAGGATTATAGCTATTGCTAAATTTAAATTCTGTTTCTGGTAGTTATTCCTCAATTTTTTAAATGCAAATATAACACTCTCTTAAAATAAGGTGCTACATGTAGTCAGTTTGGTGTACTTACTGCAGGCAGAGCTTTATCATGAAGAGTACACAAGGAAGGAACATTGCTTCAAACCACAAGTACTGTTCAAAGTTTCAAAGGAAACTCTGGTTGTGGATACTTGCTCAGCCCACCATATTTAGCAAGGAGTCCTCATAATGTTCTTTGGGTTTCACAAATAGAACACTTAACCTATCACAAATCAACCTTTATTTTCCATTTTTGTTTCGCTTCTACTCTGAAACTCGACTATCTCTTAAAAATATGTTCTCAACTCAACCTGCATGCAACACAAAATAGCTGTACTCTGATACTTCTAAGGTAGTATAATTTTAGATTCACTGCTAACTACTACTATTATTACTATTACTGAGTTGAGAGGTGCCTGCCTGGCTCAGTTGCAAGAGCCTGCGACTCTTGATCTTGGGGTGATGAGTCCCAGCCCCATGTGGGGTGGAGAGATTATGAAAATAAATAAATAAACTTAAATTTAAAAAAATTTTTTTAAAGAAATTGAGTTGAAAGAAACAATATTCAGAGAGAACTGCTGAAGTACATATCCTCCAGATATTACAAATCCAGCCCTGGTCAAGTCAGAGCAACAGATACCTTAATACCTGGATGACAATGTACTGATCCCTTAAGAACTACTTTTATTGAATTATATAGTTTGGTATGATAGCAAGAGCCCACAATGAAGACTGGTAAAATAAAGTCCCAAGAAACCATGGCTGTCAAGATATTGTCTAGAAAACTGTCCATTATGACATCCAAGAATATCAGTACTTCTGAGCAGTAAGTTTGTCTTATGTTATGAACTCTGTAACCTATATTATGAACTCTGTAACCTAGTGTCAATGACTAGAGAGCTTAGTCAGAGCCAAACTTATAGCCTGTCCACAGACAAGTTTCAGATCACCATGCTATATGCTCTCCCTGACTCCATTTTATATCCATCCCCAACATTACTTTTCATTTTTCTTTTGCTTTCACTTTTAACTTCTGCTTTACTGTTTTGTGATAATCTACATGTACAAACTACTTTAAATCCTTTTTAGAACAAAGCAGAAGAACACTGAAATGAATAGATCAAGAGAGTTTCCTGGGGCCCTTTTAGAACCTTTGTAGAATCCAGATTCATATAATACTCTGGATAGAATTGTACATATTTGATCATTACAGGGGGGATGAACTAAGCCAAGTGCTTTCATCCCTAAGAATTTAATTACTTAGACTTTATCTTAGACAGCTGGCCAGCGATTGGCAAATTTTTTGATTAAGAAGTCTACTACTGTATCGTTAAAATGATGTTTCTAAGAGGTACATCTATAAGGCACATGATTTAAAAAATTGTCATTAAAGCTGTAAACTTTAAAAATTAAAAAAAAATTAAAAATCTTAAAAAAAAAAAAAAAGCTGTGGTCAGTAAATTTTACCTGGTACACATCTCCTTTCTAATGCAAAACAAAACAAAACAAAACAAAAAAACTTCTTGAAGACAAATCTGACTTAATGATTAAAAGATGAGCAGCAAGAGAACTAGTTGTCTTTTTAATTTATAAACTACCAGAGCAAGTTGCTATTTCTTTATGGAGGAAAAAGGTAAGGAAAGGAGAGTTTTGACCAAGTACATGGCATCTCCAAGACCTGAAAAGGGCCTAAAAAAAAAAAAAAATGGAGAAAATTCTTTCCTTAAGATAGATTCTAGTATACCTAATGAGCTATGGAGCTGAAATTATGTGGGGGCTCACTAATAGTTGTAGAGCTGCAAGAAGCATCTTTTCCAAAAAATTTAAAGAAATATATTGACAATGTAGTTTCTACTACCATCACAAGTTACTGGAAAAGGTGGGCAAAAGTAAGACTGTCATACATATGAGTAGTCAAGAGTTGTTTTTCTGGGTTCACTCCCATTGGTGTTAAAAACATTGGCCATGCTTCTGCTCACCAGAAATCCTGCAGTTCAAGACCCAAATAAAGATAACCTATATACAGAAATGGAGTGTCAGGGTGCCTGGGTGGCTCAGTGTCCAACTCTTAATCTCAGCTCAGGTCTTGATCTCAGAGTCATGAGTTCAAGCCCCTAGTTGGGCTCCATTCTGGGCCTGGAGCCTACTTTAAAAAAAAAAAGAAAGAAAGAAATGTAGTGTCCTAAAAACTGAAAGAAAAAAGGGAAGCTGAGTATATTGAGAGAGAGCCTTCAACTACAGAAAGGAAGAAAAGCATAATCCTACTGGAAATTCAGACAACTGAGTAGATGGGCATATCTTTTCCTCAGCCTTACTAAAATCTGACATTAAATGGCTCCCATTACCTGCAGAAGAGGAACCAATAAAAGTATACCTTGAGAGACCAATATAACTAGGAGGAAGAATGCAAGCTTTTCCTAAGTCGTATGCAATAAGAACAGGGTTAAAAAGGCTTTCCATGATCGGAATTAAAAAGCCTTCCTAAAATTGGACAACCCAAGAGACAATGTAGATGAGTTTCTCAAACTCAGCACTACTGACATTTGAGGCCGGATAATTCTTTGTCATGGAGGGCTGCCCTGCACATTGTAGGATGTTTAGCAGCATCGCTCACCTCTACCCCCTAGATGACAAGAGCCCCCTTATCAGTTGTGACAACCAAAAAATGTTGGCAGACATTGCCAAATATCAGGGGCAAAATCATTCCTGTTGAGCACAACTGCTGTTGATGAAACAAGTAACAAAGAGCTGCCAAGAATAACTCACAACTCTAGGTCAGTAGCTCCCAAACCATTCCACTTCTCAAACCAGGATACAGAAGGAACAGCAGGACTAGTAGGAAAAATGACAAGTTCAAATTTTGGATAAGTCAAAAAAAAAAATTTTTTTTTTTGGATATGTCAAAATGTGGGATACCAAGTAGAGATGTACAAAAGGCAGTTGGATATATAGAAATGGAACCAAGAAGTTGGCCAGAAAAGCATTAGCTACATTAGTACCTCTGAGAAGGACTTTTGCAAATCTTCAGCCAAAATAAAATCCTCTTAAGAGATAATGATTATTACCCTACACAAGCTCTACCTAGTGACTAATTAAACAAGAAGCCCTTGATGGATTTAGTCTACTGCAGGTAATGTACTCAAGCACAATTTTTACCTTCATCTGGACAAACCTGCCATATGTTAAAGTCTTCAGAGTAAACTCTCACATATCTTTACTAATTGATACCTGCAATAATTTTCCCATTTGGCATATGCTCCCTCATTTGACTTTTGTTCCCAAATCCATTGTCCCATATTCTATTTTGAATAGATACTTGTTCTCTGCTGCTTCAGATACATAATTAGTAAAAGAAGATGCAATTCTCAACATTAAGAATTAAATGCAAGTGAGTTTTCCAACAGTATCATTAAATAAATTCTGTATGAAAAGACTCAGACTCCAAACATTACTTTTTTTCTTCCATAGAAAACTCTCTTAAGAGTTTGAATACACCTCAGTTCAAGAGTGTATTTTCCTGAATGTCTGTTTTTGATTGAGAAAATTTACTTAAATGTAATTTTCCAAGAAATTACAAGACACATTTCTACATATGCATAAGTTCACTTGTTAAAAACCTATTCAACGTATTTTATGAAGAGCTACATTTCAGGCAAAATAGCAGTGAAGAAATAATTTTCCTAACTTAAGACATATAATCTGTTTAACAAAATATAGTTAAAGTAAAATAAATCTGAATAAGGAAATAGGAATACTTTGCAATATATTATGTTTAGTTTAAACTAGTTTCCTTGTGTAAAATCTTCTACTGTATGCTTTTTTTTAACTAGCTTAAAAAATTTTAATAAGTGAAAGGAAGTTGAGAATTTGTTTTAAAACAGTCATTTAAAGTATCAATCAATTCACAGAATTTTCACCGAGCTCATCTTGATAGTTATACCAACACATTGGCATGCATTCAGTAAGAACAGTCATAAATAAGGGATGGTCATACTTCCTTTTAGAGATGATAAATTATTAAAGAGAGAACACAAATCCACACACACTCCTAAGAAGAAAATTAGGTTTAGCATTTTTCTGATCACAAACTAAATATTCTCTAACAACATTTTTAGGACTCACTTTTGTTTACATAATCCTTACTAGAAATAAAAGGATACCATTAAATAAAAATATCAATAAATACCTGTTTTTTGTTATATGTCCTTTAAGCTAAACTTACCAAATCAGATATGATTTTTGTTGAAGGAAATTACTATGATCCCCCGCCACCATTACCACAGCCCCATCCTTTCCCCACATAAAGAAAATGCAGATTAGTCACTATTTAATATATGTTCTCCAATGACTCTGGTCACTTAAAATTATAACATAGCTAGAGGAGGAAGAGAAGAAAAAGTAGTGAAACATGTTTAAAATTGTACTTTCTTACCAATATGTTGCTGCAGAGCCCAAGAGGAGTTTGAGGCACGAGTGGAGAGCATCTTTTCAACAGTTGGAGGAAGCCTCCTCCAATTGGTAAACTCCAAAGTGAAGATAAGGATGTCATCACTGACTGAGTCAATCCTATATTGGCAAGATGTTAACATACCATTAGACACAAAAGAGTTCATCCTGAAAACAAACACCACACAACTATTCTTACAACATCGCAGTATAGAAGGAAGAGCGAAAACTGGGACATAGAAATAATCGTGTAACTGGAGGCAAGTTCAGTAGATACGAACCATCATCTACAGGTTCCTATAAGAAAATGAATCGACTACATGTATAGTTGTCCAGTAGATGACCAGAGAATCTCTACACTTGTAGAGGACAGGAACTTTCCTTCCCATTCCTCAGCCAGCAGTGGTAAGAAAAAGAGAGACAGTACCAGCGTCATCAGTGGATTTGCCATTACCTCCTCCTACTCGAACCATCTTGCTGAACCTAGACTGGTCACCCTCACAGACTCACAATTTAACAGCCCTAAAAGGATAAAGCCCAAACACCCAAAGTTAACTCTAAACTGAATATATATGGGAGAGATGGCCTTTTTCTGTCCAACTCTCAGGCACGTACAATTGCTCCCCTCTAGGAACCTTCCCCATTATAGATTCACTTCTAAAAGATGTACCAAAATAAGTTTCGTCTTTAAGGACTGAAAGGTGTTCAAGACAAACAATTCTTCCTCTGTTTTTTCAAAATAATTTCAAATTTTTCCTACCAATTCAGCCAGAGGAGACTTCCCCCAAATTTTATAAGCACTTGAATCCTATTGAACAGAGCATTAGTCTAAGAAAAGTTCTGGTTTCTAATACCACCTCTACTACTTACAAACATGTTGCCTAAATTCTTTAAGCCCTAGATTATGGTCTCTAAAATGAGAATAATACTTAACCTGCCTATTTCAGGGGACTATTGGTGAAAATAATATGAAACAATATAGTAAACATACTTTTAAGACAAAAATGTTACATAAATATTTGCTATTACTAGAACTGGTCTGAAATTTTCAGTATTGCATTTTTGATAGGGCTTAAAACATTATACACATGAAATTTAGTCACAGCTTAAAGGGAACTCCAAATTCTAACAGGATTATCTATCTTGTACTCAACTAGATACTCCCCTACTCTATCACATTGTTTGAAGAAAAGTAAAATGATTAGGGCTTCCGGTAATTACTTCAGAAATTCTTTCCAAGGTTGCTTTTTTGAAGACATTACTGGGCAAGAACTAAAGAAGGGGAAAAAATAGAAGGAAAGGAAAGAAATTGAGTAATACTCTCAACATGTCATCTGAAAGATAACTTAATTCTTGTAATTCAGGGTCAAAGTGTCCTTGAAATGACTGATTAGAGAGTATGAAAATTATTTCCCAAATTCTTAATTCTCTAATATGCAAGCATATAGAAGAAAGAACTTAAAGTGTAGTACAAATGCTTTAGGAAAACATTCTACTTCTTGGGAAGCTCTCAGTGAAATCACAACCTATCAGGAAATTCTGAAAATAAATAAAATGATAAAATATATTCAAAAGCAAACAATCCCCTTGACTTTCTAGTACCCTGTACCAAAGGTTACTTAATTCTAACTCCTTATTTCATTTTTAATGGTTTCATTTTTCTGCTTAAGTGTGCTCTAAGTTTCAGTGTGACCAAACACAAAGTCATTTTTATGCAGTTATCTAAACACACACGAGAAATAAATCTGTTTATACAGCTTTAGTTAATATAATGGTGAGTGTATTCTACCAATGCTGATAATGCCACTAAAAATGTATTGTTACTGTACTACATTGACCATTACATTGTACAAAGCAGTTGTACAATCATAAACAAGTGACAGTTAATCAACTAAATGCAGAGATGACATTTACTTTCTATTATTCACCTATTACATTTGGGCAGGGGCAGGGGGGTGGTGTACCTAGTCTTGCATTTAAAGTTGAAAAAGTATTTCAACTCTGTAGATTATATTGTGACAGGCAATTATTCAGCCAGATACATTTTTTAAGACTGTTTAAGGCAAGCAATACTAGGAAAGACATTTATAATTTACATGACAAAGATTAAGCAACAGATTTACGTGTGATATAAATAAGATACAACCAAAATCCACTTTAACAACATACTGGAATTTTTATGGGAGAATTTTTCTTGTAACAGCTCTTTGAATGTAAATTTGATCAAAGAAAGCAAAACATTTATCATATTCAGCATAAACACTAGCTTTATCCATTCAATAAAAGATCAGTGAACAAAAATTTGACAATGTTAAGCATTTTCATTGCTAAAGTGAAATTTTCCATTGTATTTTTCTAATGACTATAAAGTGACTAAAGTTACTCCTTTGGAGTAAAATATATGCAAGTGGCATTCTCAGTTCAGATAGTTGAAAGTTTTACAATTTACTTCAAAATAATTTGTAGCTTACTGGTTCTCAACTCTTTTCTGTCCTAACACACCCAAGGAATACAGCACACAGAAATATGACAATAAATATAACACACACATTCTTTTTTTTTTTCTTTTAGAGAGAGAGAGTACCACCCTGGGGCGGGGGGAAGCAGATGGCAGAGGGAGGAGGAGAGAGAGAGAATCTTAAGCAGGCTCCACGCCCAACCTGGAGCCCCCAGAGTCCGACACGGGGCTCAGTCTCATGACCCTGAGATCATGACCTGGGCCAAAATCAAGAGTCAGGAGCTAAACTGACTTAAGTCACCTGGGTACTCCATATAACACACAAATTCTGAAACATACTATTCACATGGGGAGAGGGAGGGTCCTGTTATCAGGACTGGGGAATGGAAGAGCATATTTTACAAAGCCTTCTGGGAGAATAAAGCTAAATAATTCCCTCTCCTTCCAGCAGTCTAGGTGGTTGGCTGAGGAGGAAAGGAAAGGGGGCAATGTTTAATTTTTTTCCCTTATAGGTTCTTCTTAATTTAGGAATAGGAAGGAGCAGGAAAAGTTGGCATATAAACCCCCCCAGGTTTGCAAGGGATTAAGGTAGCTGAAATTAAGTGATGTAACTACAGGATCCATGTGGACACACAGGACTAAGGCAGCAGAGGACAGTGGTTAGAAAGAAAGACTTGAGCCACACTACACAGGACAGCCTAGGTTCAAACCTAAGCTCTAGCACTAACTAGCTGTGTGAGCTTGAGCAAGTATGTTAAACACTCTGGGCCTCAATTTCCTTCTCTGTAAAATACAGATAACAGTATCTACTGTATTCTATATTAAATGAGTTAATACAGTAACAAATTTAAAATAGTGCCTACTTAGTGTTGGTTAAAGAAAAAAATAAACCAGAAACCAGAAGGGAGTGTGAAGGCCAAAAGTAATGGACAAGTAATAGAGTCGAGTTAGTATCCTCAGTGGAGGAACACAAAGAGTACTGCTGAGGAGAGAGGGGGTGCCGTGAGGACAAGCACCAAGCTGCGAACACATTGTCAGGGCTGTCCACAGCTACCCCACATGCTGGCCTGGATTTACAGCAGCAGTTGGAAAGTGAATCCTAGAATGGTGAGAGGTCACTGCTGCTAGCTGTCAGGAGCCCAACACAACCATACAATTCACTAAGCTAATAGTTAAGGGTACTTAAATAACTTTGTTAATAGCTAGATAGAGCATTCCTTAGCAAGTGTTTCTATCTCAGTGGTGTGTGTGTGTGCGTGCGCACACGTACATGCACATGTACGGGAGTATAAGACAAATAAGCACATACAAATAACTTTTAAAGATCAGTGATCCTCGGGGCGCCTGGGTGGCTCAGTAGTTAAGCATCTGCCTTCAGCTCATGTCATGGTCCCAGGGTCCTGGGATCGAGCCCCGCATCGGGCTCCTTACTCAGCGGGGAGCCTGCTTCTCCCTCTCCCTCTCCCACTCCCCTGCTTGTGTTCCCTCTCTCACTGTGTCTCTCTCTGTCAAATAAATAAAATCTTTAAAAAAAAAAAAAAAAGATCAGTGATCCCCAATGAATTGTCAATAATCTTTATATTTCATTCAATTACCTAAAAAACACAATGGACGGGGCGCCTGGGTGGCTCAGTTGGTTGGACGACTGCCTTCGGCTCAGGTCATGATCCTGGAGTCCCGGGATCGAGTCCCGCATCGGGCTCCCTGCTCGGCAGGGAGTCTGCTTCTCCCTCTGACCCTCCTCCCTCTCATGCTCTCTGTCTCTCATTCTCTCTCTCAAATAAATAAAAAATAAAATCTTTAAAAAAAAATAATAAAAAAAATAAAAAATAAAAAACACAATGGATTTCTATGAAATTTTACTGAAAAGATATAGAGAGAATTACAACAATGAGTATCTGGCAAACGACTGGATATTAGCTAGTGGGAAAAAGAGTAAATACAATTAGGTACTCAACCTGTTGTAAAGCTAGAAACAAAAAAGTAAAATGGGAATCAGAACGTGTATCTCAACTTTCTTTATACTTCTATGTTCCTCAAACAACCTACCAGAAAGCAGTTTTTCCTTACAAACCACATATCTGAAACACTTAGTATCAAAAGGGATGACAGCCCTAAGCATAAAACCTCTACTTAGTAAAAATTCCTGAATTCTATATATTTTCAGATGTAATAAAAAGGTGGGATACTGGGATCCTGCCAAATACAGACCTGTTCATCATATGCAGATAGAGAAGCCACCAAGGGAAAGATAGGAGTCCCCAGAAGTGCAAACTAAACATACAAGTAGGGAACACTAACAGGGCCTGCACGAACCCCAAAGAGAATCTCTTTCTAACAAAAAACTCAAATAACAAGGTATCTTTAAAGCACTTTTCTGCTGAAATGCAAAATCTAGTATTTGACTAAACATTATTTTAGTGAATGCTAGTTTTTGAAGCACAAAAATGAAGCCATCTAGATGTTTCATTGAAATTTTATACAATACCCTTGTCCTCCATTTTCCTGGAGACTTTCATTCTGTTTTCTCATTTGACTTATCAGGCCAACAGAGTTCTTTCATTGCTACAATTATCTTCTCGGTTCTATCTAGACACTTAAAACTTTTGCAAAAGCTGGAGGCTGGCAGAAACAATGTCCTCTTCTTGCCCAAGAAAAATCCTGACTCAACTTTCATATATCATCAGCTACTTTAGAAATTAGTATTTATTAAGGGAGACCAAGTTCAAATAAACAAGATGCTATAGGACAAGAGTATTGACTCTAGTAGACTAAGGGACAACAGAAATCTCCAAAGCAGGGGCGCCTGGGTGGCTCATTCGGTTAAGCGTCTGCCTTCAGCTCAGGTCATGATCCCCGGGTCCCGGGATAGAGCCCCGCATCGGGCTCCCTGCTCCGCGGGAAGCCTGCTTCCCTCTCCCACTCCCCCTGCTTGTGTTCCCTCTCTCGCTGTGTCTCTCTCTGTCAAATAAATAAATAAAATCTTTAAAAAAAAAAAAAAGACATCTCCAAAGCAGCTACAACCATTTTGTCACAGGCATTTTTAAGAGCATGAGAGATGACCTAAGTAGAAAAAATAGCCCGCTCCAAAAATCCATCCTCCCCTACTCCCTTCCAGTCACCTCTTACCTTTTATTAGGACTCTTATATTCAAGCTCACTATTAGCAGCCCCCAACTCCATCACCCCAACCTAGCCATCATGTGCAAACACACACACACACACAAACACACACACAAGCCCTTCTCCCAACATGGGAATCTTAAGAAATTGGGGGAAATTGAAGGTAGTATATTCACTCAAAAAGGAAAAGTTTCACTATGGTAGGATTTCTTACCATGAGCTGCATAGTAGATTCAGTGGGTCAAATCCAGCGAGCAGGAGAGATGGCAGCCATTCCTTATATTTTGTCTGTGCTTTAATCGCATGACTTACAAATTCAGAAATATGGTTCCACGGTGCCAGTGGACAACCTTTCTTCAAAAAGTAGCGAAATACTGAAAACTTCTCATACTTCAGACAGTATGCCAAATGAAGTTCATTTAGTTGGGCTCCATATTTCAAAAGAATATTCACAATTCCAAAAAATTCACAGCTCCACCACAAGAAAGAAAGAAAGAAAGAAAGAAAGAAAGAAAGAAAGAAAGAAAGAAAGAAAGAAAGAAAAGAGAAGTTAGACTTTTATATAAAAAAATTCTTACAAATAGTTAATAGTACTTACAGCTGGAAAATAAATGGCAGATGGGATAGAGGAATCCTGTGACATGTGTCAGGGAGGAAGAACTTCCTCTGCCCTATGGTCCTTCTAGTTGGACTTAGAATCAAACTGACATGAGACAGATTAACAAGAGAAAATCAAATTTAATAGGCATAAGTATGGAGAATCCACATAGACATGAAACTCCAAAGACAAAGAGGCAACATGACGCTTATATGAGCTAAGGAGAGGGACAGGGCCTGAGGATACGAAGGGGAGAGAGCTCATTAGCAGGAAGGTGAAATGAGGGGTTTGGAAAAACAAGGTTGTCCTATTATGCACGAGTTCCTTAGATAACGGGGAGTCTCTGATAACAGTACTCTTCCCCCGTTGCAGGCTCCCCTTTCCAATGTAAAGTTAGGCAGTTATGGGGGAGGCAGAGAGCTTTTCTTGCATCTGCTGGATTTTTATTACTTTTAACTCAAAATAATCTTTATGTCAAATGATACATTTTGGGGCCTCTCATCCTGCACCCCTTCATGTGTCTAGTGAATTGAGACTAGGGTACTAGGGGAAAGGGAGTATTTTACTGTCTAATTTACACCCTCCTGCATGGTTTTTAATTTTCAACTATGAACAGGTAGTGCACTTAGAATTTAAAACATTTATCTTAAGTAGATAATTTTTAAAAATTATCATTGACAAATAGAAAACTCTTCTCAAACTGTGGTATTTTTGTACAATTAAGTATCTACAACAAAATACTTGGAAGCAAAGTTAATTAACATTGTCATCAGTCCCTAAAGACAGAGGACTCATTCTAGGAATTTCCAAGATACCATTTCCTTTAGCAAGAGTCTTAGTCAATTTCCCTTTCATTTTTAAGTTTATAATGGTAAAAACAAGAAAAGTTTTTTTATGAACAAAAATTTAACTTACAGCTTTATATTTTTAAATTAATCTTCTTTATCAAATACTTTTACAGAATAGAAGTATATAATTTTATATCTATTAAATTGGTTAATTTTATTTTTTTAATGTATCATCCAATACTGGTAAGTTGTGGTTAAACTGACTGAAAATAAGTGTAACCTGAGAACTAATTGGCAAGATGTATCAAAAGAGATATCACAGCAAAGTTATAAGGGGCACAATCTCTGGAGCTAGCCTGCTCAGCTACTTATTATCTACTATTATTATCTATGGGACTCTGAACCAGTTACTTCACCTTTCAGGCATACAAAACTAACACTATACAAGTATTTGTAAAGTAAAATTATATGTAAAATAAGTTACCATTAGTTAAATTAATTAAAATTAATTAATTAAAATAAAATAAAACATATAATTAAATTAAAACATAATAGGGGGTGCCTGGCTGGCTCAGTCAGTGGAGCATGCAACTTTTGACCTCAGGGTCATGAGTTCAAGCCCCATGTTGGGTGTGGAGCCTACTTTAAAAAATAAATAACTAGAATAGAATACAATAAGCATAAATCTTGGGAATTTATCCAAGACAAAATCAAAAAGAAATTATATCCTATCTGTACAACAATAACAATAGTATTATCTGTAACAGACTTTAGAAAGAAAGAAATTACCTGTTTAACGAGAGGAGTGGATAAGTACAAAATATGATATAGTCATCAAAAACTGCAATTACGATGGCCCTGTGACCACATTTTAAAAACTGTTTATGCTATAAGTTTAACTGTAACAAAGCTCAGTAAACAAGTATGTTTACTATGTACACAACTAGGAAGAAAATACATAATAAAATCATTCTCCCAGGGTACCTGGGTGGCTCAGTCAGTTAAGCATCTGCCTTCAGCTCAAGTCATGATCTCAGGGTCCTGGGATCAAGCCCCGCACCACACCAGCTCTCTGCTCAGCAGGGAGTCTGCTTCTCCCTCTCCTTCTGTACTCTCTCTCTCTCCCTCCCTCTTACTCTTCTCTCTTTAAGTAAATAAATAAAACAACAACAAAAATCATTCTCCCTTTGAAACTGGCATTAATTCTATTTTAAACAGCTATAAATTTAAAAAATATTTCCTTAATCACAATATAATGGAATCTAAGTAAAATAAAGGCATAAAAATTATAGAGAAAGCAAATATAAAATGTTTAATCCACTGTCATGTGAAACCAACTACTTATGAAGACTTAAGTATTCAGTTTGAAATCAAAGTTTCAAAGCAGTTAAGAAACCCAATACATACGTAAACTGTTACCTAATCCACGTCTATTTTTATAAATCTATGTTCTTTAATCTCCAATTCATGCTTTTCTTTAGTTAAAACCTTAAACAGTATTTGCTTTACTCTTAGTTATTTACATAGCAATTAGAAAAGGAAAATTGAGGGGCATCTGGGTGGCAGAGTCGGTTGAGCATCTGACTCTTGGTTTCAGCTCAGGTAGTGATCTCAGGGTCCTGAGATTGAGCCCCTAGTGGAGACCCAGCATTGCGCTCTCGGCATCAGTGTGAGTCTGTGAGTCTGTTTGGGACTCCCTCTCCCTCTGTCCCTCCCCACTGTGGTCTTTCTCTCAAATAAATAAATAAGTCTTTTAAAAAAGAAAAGAAAAATCAGTAATTCTAAAATTTCTTTTTAAAAAATATTTATTTGAGAGAGAGATAAGAAGAAAGAGAGATTGCGTTGGCGGGGGGTGGCAGAGGGAGAAGTTGAGAGAGTCTTAAGTGGACTCTACGCTCGCAGGTGGAGCCCGACACGTGGCTGAATCTCACGACCCTGCAATCTCACAGCCCTGAGCTGAAACCAAGAGTGGGATGCTCCACCAACTCTGCCACCAAGGCACCCCTCTAAAATATCTTTATAAAAATTAAAACCTTTTTGCCTGTCTACCATCTTGCTATTTGTTCCTGATTAGAAGTCCATCATTCATATTACTGTTCTTGAAAACAGCCGTATATTTATGTATTTTTTCCTCTGGTTCTTTTCAGATACAGGAAAGCTGAGAGATTTGTTGCCAGCGGTCTTGCACTGCAAAAAAAAATGCTAAAGGATATACTTCTGACTGGTGGTTCTAAACAGTTATCACCAATTTATTTCAACCACTTCGACCTCATTTGACTAGGCTCTCATTATTTTGCCTGCAGTTATTACTTGCTGATTCCACTATAGAACAGACAAGCTACACATGGACTGTTGAACAAGTTCCAATAAATATGCAGGTAAACTATGAGAAACTGCCTCACTAGAAATGTGATATATAATTCTCAAGAAGCAATTTTCAAGGCATGAGTGTTTACATGTGCAATTCAGGGACTGGTTGAATTCTTCCCTCAAGCGCTCTGAAGCCATCAACAACCTAACCACAGATACTTTAGCTCTTAATGATTTAGCTCTTGAAACATACTTCTGCTACAGAATACAAAGGTAAATGAGAGCCCTAAATACAAGCTATTAGGGTAAGTGCCACAGAAGGGTTCTCTAGCCATTTTCTGTTTAGAAAAAACTACAAAACAATTAGTGGCTTTCTTATTAAAATTTTAATATAGCACCCAGACATGTGGCTCCTGCTAAGAAAATCTGAAGAACAAGGCCAAAAGATAAACCATTCATCTCTAAAATGTGGGAGGAACATACACACATACAATTCCTTATAATAACAAACTTTAATGAGTATTTATTCTGTACCAGGCACTATGTTAAATGTGTTACATGGAAGATTTGCCTTAATCCTCACAACAACCCTAAAAAGTAAGTTCTACTATTATCTCCATTCTAGACACAAAAACTGTGAAGCTTAGTCACGGAACTGGTGACTGGCAGAACTGGTATATCAAACCAAAATCTACCAGTGAATATGACACAGCAAATATATGAAATATCGTTCCTCTATTATGAAAACTGCTTCATGAAATAGTCAAATGAAATTGAGGAATATTTTAGGGCCAGACCTATGTTTCCCAAAGTATGTTCCAAGGAACACTAGACCCTGAAAACAATCCATATGACAAAGGCTCCATAATGAAAATATTTGAGAAATCCCATATGGTATACACTGAGGTCAGAAAAGAGAGAACTATAGGATGAATTTATTTTTTAAAAGTATGCTAGAGGGGCGCCTGGGTGGCTCAGATGGTTAAGCATCTGCCTTCGGCTCAGGTCATGATCCCGGGGTCCTGGGATTGAGTCCCACATCGGGTTCCCGGTTCAGCAGGGAGCCTGCTTCTCCCTCTGACCCTCTCCCCTCTCATGCTGTTTCTCTCTTGCTCGCTCTCTAAAAAATAAATAAAATCTTTAAAAATAAATAAATAAATAAATAAATAAATAAATAAATAAATAAAGTATGCTAGAAAAAAATAATAAAGTATGCTAGTTACATTTTCAAATTAAATGCCAAAATGTCTTCTTCGATCTCCGGACACATCTCAGAAGAAATACCTTTTCTTTCTTTTTTTTCTTTTTTTTTTCAGAAGAAGTATCTTTAAATAAACAAACAAAAAAGATTAATTTATTTATTAGAGAGAAAGCATGAGAGCAGGAGGGAAGAACAGAGGGAGAGGGAGAGGAAAAGAATCTAGGGCAGATGTAGACTCCCTGCAGAGTGCAAAGCCCAATGTGGGGCTTGATCTCACAACCCTGAGACCATAACCTGAGTCGAGATCAAGAGTCAGACACTTAACTGAGCCACCCAAAAGAAATTCCCCCAGAAGAAATATATTTAAAATTAAAGAAATGGATCTGTTAAAAAGAAAATCACGGGCCCCACATGGCATCATCTGGCTTAAGGCCCCCAAGTCAGTAAACCAAGACTTAAAACCTAACCTAACTGCAGTCAGCTCCCTAAGGAATGTGACCTTTAATCAGTCAACATGGAATTTCCTGGTCAATACTGGAAAATTTACTGATGGACCCTTCCATCCCCTTAGGAGG